TGCTGGGGTTTCTCACAGAGCCGGTGTCACTTCAGAAAATGAATGAGAAAGGTATTTAAATTTAAAATTGCGAAGAAAGGTTGAATACTAATTTAGATGCTCTGGAGGAGTACAGCATGGGTCACACAGAAAAGGCTTTCTTTAAACCAAAGCGCAGCTCTGGGGTGATTCAGCGCATTGCCGACAGCAGGTGGGGAGGGAAGGAACCACGAAGTCCGGGGGTCCTGGTGCCCAGCTCAGCTCTCTCCGTTCAGGGAGCACTGCCCGCACACTCTGCACTACATTTCTTTCCAGGCCCTCACAGAGATGGCGCTAATAACAGACATTCAATTCAGTGTCCCTAAAACTAGACTGAACTCATGCCAGGACTAGTTTCTGTTCTGGTTTATTTCCTGTTTGCAACCAACAGAAGTTGTACCACAAAACAAAATTACAGTTCAAAGGCCTTTTTGATAAACATCATCAGTGTCCTTACTAGGTTCATAACTTCTAAAAAATCCTCAATTCCCTTCCATATTTATCACATGAAAATAATTTAATGAGCCCTGGCTGATGTGGCTCAGACGATTGAGAGCTGGCCTGCAAACCAAAAGGATCACTGGTTTGATTCCCAGTCAGGGCACATGCCTGGGTTGCAGGACCGGTCCCCAGTGGGGAGCACATGAGAGGCAGCCACACATCGATGTTTCTTTCCCTTTCTTTCTCCCTCCCTTCCCCTCTAAGAATAAAGAAATAAAATTTGTAAAAAAAAAAGGAAGAAAACAATTTAATGATGCTATAAACAACATACATGTATGTACATACTGTGCAAAAAATTACAAATGGACAGTAGGACAACAAGGAGAAAAGGAAACACCATGGGTACTCTTCAGCTGAATATGACACCTATTCCTCTAAGTGGCTGGCAAAGTGTTTTGATCAACTACAACGCTTTTTCATACACATTTATATTTAAAAACAGATGGACTGTTAACTGACAGTGAGAATTGTTTTCTTATATAGATACTTTGCTATAAAATATTTATGGTAAAAAGATTTGATGTGTTCCACTCTCTGAGGAAAACTATGCTTAATATTAATGCTGACACCCCTTTGTCCCGAAGAGCCAGTGCGGGCTCCATCCACAGGGCTCCAAAGAGTTACGGAAAAGAACCTGTTCGCTTGATACACTGGCATGGAAGGACAGCCAGGACTTACTGTGGAGTGAAAGAAAGAAACCACAGAAGAAGGAGCAGCATGATCTCTGAAAACGAACTAAAAATGAGCTTATATAATTGTGAGAGAGCTGTTATTGGGTTGGACAAAAAGTCTGTTTCATTTTTTTTTTTGTAAAATAGAAGACACATTTTTCATTTTCACCAATAATTTTATTGATTTGGATGTTTTCAGTAGGTTGGCTGTCTCCCACTATTGGCTTCTAGTGGGTAGAGGCCGGGGTGCTGCTCAACATCTTTCAATGCATCAGACAGACTCACAGCAAAGAATTATTTGGCCAAAATGTCAATGGTACCAAGAAACTCCACAAACCACTTTTGACACGTTTGCTCAGTCACAGCACCTTCTCCATACACTGCACACATCTTTTTGTGTATGTGTTTCAGTTGCATTTTTACCTTTCTTGAGACAATAAAGCATAACATGGCAAAAATGCACATTTTCTTCCATCTCTAATATTAAAATGGCTGCACAAAAATTCACCAATTTTTATAAGATTTTTTAAAATGCAAGCTGATATGACAGCTGTCACAATACAATCTAACAAAACTGTTTCAAGTGAAGTTAAAGACAACTAAGCATTGCTAGAGCCATCTTATGGAAAAAAAACACAAACTTTTTGGCCATCGCAACACATCTGTCCAGTGCATGCCTCTCCCATGCCCATCTCCTTTCCAGTCAAGTCTTCTTTCCTGTAGGGGACCTCCTGTGTTTGGGGGCTGGACTCACCCCATCTCTCACCCTGAGTGGACACATGACTTGGACCTGGTCCATCAGAGACATCCTGTGACTACGGTGAGACTTGTCAGGGTGCCAAGCTGGCAACCCTGCTATAGGCCATATTACCTCCATGGAGAAAAACTCTGAATGTGAACCAAGCAGAAGCAAGCAGGGCCCTGGCTGGTGAGGCTCAGGGGATTGAGCCCTTACCTACGTACCAAAGGGTCACCAGTTCAATTCCCAGTCAGGGCACATGCCTGGGTTTCAGGCCAGGTCCCTAATAAGGGTGCTTGAGAGGCAATCACACATTGCTGTTTCTTTCCCTCTCTTTCTCCCTCCCCTCCCCTCTCTAAAAATAAATAAATAAAATCTTTAAAAACAGAAGCAAGCGGTATCAAAAACCAGAGACACAGCCCTGAAGACACTCTCTGAGTCCCTAAAGCCAACTGTTCTTAATTATACCATTGAGTATGTGTATTACCTTTTCAGTGTTGGGGGTTTAAATCAGATTTTAGTAGTTCTCTGTGGAAAATTTCCTAATACAAGAACAGTAAGAGAGAGATGCAATGCTGCTGGCTTTGAAGATGGAGGGTCCAAGAACCAAGGAATGCAGGCAACCTCTTAAAACTAGAAAAGGCAAGGACACATATCCTCCCCCAGAAGTTCTAGAAAGGACCATGGCCCTGCAGATGCCTTGAATCTAGCCCAGTAAGACACAGCTGGACTTCTAAAGAACTGTAAAAATGGTAATAATCCTAATCATTAATACTGGTGTTGTTTCACCATGGCTGGTATAGATCAGTTGATTGAGTGCCAGCCTACACACCAAAGGGTGGCGATTCGATTCCCAGTCAGGGTTGTGGGCCAGGTCCCCACTAGGGGGTACACAAGAGGCAACCTCACATTGATGTTTCTCTTACTCTTTCTCCCTCCCTTCCCCTCTGTCTAAAAATAAATAAATAAAATCTTAAAAAAAAACAAAGAAACAAACCAAAAAACTGGTGTTACGTTTCCAAAAATATTTTCCAAGTACGGAAAGATGTAGAAAGTTTCTAGAAGAATCTCATAGTGTTATTTCTGTGGAATGGAAATGAGGATGAAGAAGAAAAGGTGGGGGTTATAATTTTTTAAACAAAAAATATGCATCATTTTTGTTAGTTTTAAAAATTAATTTTAAACATGTCTCAGGATGGAACCAGAATTAAAGTCTAAGAATCACAGGTATTATCACCCACCCAGGCAAGTCAAAACAGCAACTGCTTCAAAAATCCAACAGGGCAGCATGGATGTGACTTGTGAAGATTTCCAACCAGCATTTTGAATGTGCTGTGTAACACAAGGGGTCAACCAATGAGCTAACACACCCACTTCACACCACACACCTGGTTAAACCAGGTCCATCCAGCAAGCCCTGTGTCCCTGGAAGGCTTTCCCCTGCTTGCAGGGCTGGGACATAACTCTCACATGTATTTGTGAAGCTGATTTTGAAGGCAAGGCTGGGGGAGGCAGGGAAGAGAAGCCAGAATAGCAATTGGCCTACAATTTAGCCCACTTTTCAATAGAAAATCAACAAATTGCCAACAAATTGCTATGCTAATGAAGAATTGCAGGCTCTGAAATGAGCATTTATCGCAAGAGAAAAGGCAATTCATTTATGCTCCTCTGTGGTGCTAACTGCATGCAGGAGGTCCCCTGCTGGATTTTGAAGGGCTTCGCGTAGGGAAAAGGGGAAAGCATGAGAGTTGGCTGCCCTGGGTGTGTTTTTCTCCAGTCTTTCTCTGATTCGGCGCTGAGGACATAATACCAGACAGAGAGCTGCTCTGTGTGCAAATCAACTGTGGCTTTTCACTAGTAAATGTCTAGTACAGCAGCTACATTCAATGTGTTCAAATACTTTCAAATAGGAAAGCATCTGCCTCTCCCCCCTGATAAATATCATTAAAAAATGGTGGTTCTTCATTTTACTTGGGCAAGAGAAGTAAGTCTGTTGCATTCTGCCAAGCCTGGATGAAGCATGGTCCTCTTGGCTACACACAGAAATACAGAACTCCTTCTGGCCTCCCTCAGAGCGATGTCGCCGGAGTATATGCCCAGAGGACAATGGCCACAGAACAGTGTAGCCCAAACCACCTCTCTTCCATCCAGGCTGGTCATTCACCAGGAGCCACAGGGAGGTTGAAGGAAAGGCCATTATTTGCTCCAGGGACATTTTTTCTTCAAACTAACAGGAGATTTTTATTTCTATTTTTCTCTTTTTCCACCGTCTTTTCTACCTTCTTCCTCTTAGTTTAAAAGGGACATGGCTAGAGAGAAGAAAAATACCATGGCCACAGACCTGGCTAATGTGCAATGATTCCAGGGTATGAATAAATCATGCTGAGGATACAAATAAGTCAGACACTCGCCCACCAGGAATAAACTCAGGTCAATCTTAGATTCTAACTTAAGGACAAAAGGTTAATTTGACAATTCAGGCAGAAAATGTATTTCAAATATAAAACAGAATTTTAAATTGTTTTTTTGCTCTAAAAGCAAAATTTTTAAACATTGTTAAGTCTACTAAAGTAATGAGAATGGTTTCAGATCTTACTTACTGTAGGTAGGACATCTTTTAAAAGACTTCGATGGAGGAAATCACTGCGCTGCAGTCAGAGACCCTAGAAACAAATTCCTAAAAGGCTCGAGTGGCCTTGCTCTGCTTGTTCGTCTTAGTTCCTTCTTTCAACTTCTAGTGTCTAGTTAGGGTCTAAGTCCCTCCCCCCATCAAAAATTAAAATAAATGATTTAATAACAACATTAAACTGACCACTAACTTGACTGTGTGACACAAATAAAAATAATTTGTGCAACACCACAAAACTTAACAAAGCATTACCCAAATACAAGTTTCAGTCTTTGTAACTGTGTGACATATGTAGAGTAGGTATTATTGCCCAGCTTTCCAACTAAAAAAAAAAAGAGTGAAAATATCATTCCACTTATTTTCCTGAAATGTGTCCCTCTGACAGTCACCTGCCGGCTAAAGGTCAGACTCCTTGCTCGGCAGCCTGCGATGAGTCACTTACCGACACACAGGATGTTGAAACAGAACCCTTGAGAAGTAGACTTGTTGACCAGCTGGTCGGGAAGACTGTCAAATCCAACATGGCCAGAAAGGGACAAGTTTCGAAGCTCTTCATTCTGAAATTTCAGAGGGGAAATGTTTGAGAATCCATGAGCTTTGTCACCTGGGTACCACACATTACAGACTCTACCCTCTCCCTCCCTTTCTTCATGACATGCATGGAAAAAAGAGCTTCCCTCTCTACCCACACCTGCCTTGGCTTCTACACAATGGAAGGTACTAATAATTCCAAAGCCACACTCTTTCCACAAAATTGTCCATCTGATTCCCAAAGTGGACTGTCTCCCAAGGTGCCTCATGCCCTGTTACACATATACTAGTCTGGGGAATATTGAGCTTCTAGAGGTGACTATCTCAGATAGGTATTAAGAGACATAAAAAACTCCAACCATTTTGATAGTTTTGAATACTCAAGAAGAACTTTCAAATTATTCTCAACCCAGAGTAAAAACTAAGTAACACTCTTCCAGATACACTGATGGAGCTTTGAGAAGCGCACAGTGGAGGAGACATACTTGGTACAAGTATGGAAACTCTGTAACCACCAAAATGCAACATATTTAAAAACTGCTCAAGACACAAACTGGTCCCATCTCCTCCGTTAGTGGCACAGGCTTCTGGAGGCATCTGTGTTCTCTGCTACACAGCTCCTAGCACAGGCTCTCTTCACCCCGCCTCCTTGGGGTTCACCGAAGGAGACTGGATCAGGTAGTTATACATTTGAAAACTTGGGTGATTTAGTCCTGGCCACTGTGGCTTGGTTGGCTGGAGCGTCACCAGTAACTGCAAGGTTGTGGTCCCATCCCTGATCTGGGAGCAAACGAGGGGCAACCAATCGATGTTTCTCTCTCACATGGATGTTCCTGTTTCTCCCTTCCTTTCCCTCAAAAAGCACTGAAAAACAAAACATCCTAGGATGAAGACAGAAGTTGAGTGATGCAAAGAGGCCCACTCCAAGATACATCATGCCAAAGGTCAAAGATAAAGAGGGACTCTTAAAAACAGCAAGAGCAAAGAAGTTAGTCACCAGATGGTTGCCAGATGTGGAGGAGGGCAGTAGGTGAAGAGGTGAGGGGATAAGAAATACAAGTAGGTAGTTACAGAATAGCCTGGGGCTGTAAAGTCCAGGACAGGAAATGGAGTAGCCAAAGAACTTACACTGACCCACCGACATGAACAATGGTGGGGGGACTGCCTGAGGGAGTGGGAGGCACTGGGTGGAGGGGGCAAAGGAGGAAAAATCAGGACAACTGTAATAGCATAATCAATAAAATATAACTTATTTAAAAAGTTGGGTGATTTATACTGCTTTGTAAAACAGTGCCGACTGCCTTCGTGGCTCTGATGGCCTCCTACGGGTGCTGGAGCTAATCTGTGAATCCTCTCTTTCCAGGAAGGCAGAGGTCAGCTCTGGTCCTCCGATTACAACACCACAGCTATGGTGTGGGATTCAAGAAACTGGATAGTGAGAGCCTTCTTGAAAAGAAGACTCTTAGATATCTGGCTATGTTGCCAATGAACTTTATATTTAAAAGACTGAAGTTTGGGTAAGAAAAAAAGCCTCAAATATACATATTTTAATTAAAAAAAGCTCTGCCCAGGGTACTTAATATTTTTTAAAAATAAAATACTGGTTTTCATTATGGCTATTTGTGTTAGATAAAGATGGGAGTGATTTATTTTAATAATAAAGGACTGAGACTCCATTTCCAAATTGCTATGATCACTATATGGGCAGAAATATGCAACTTCCTGAATATAGTGAGTTTAAGCAAAAGTTTTGTGAATAATTTAATGTCTAAGGTCCTCGCCAGCTCTAAAATTCTGATTCTGTGAAAAACACACACACACACACACACAACACAAAAACGCTAAAAGCCATCACACCGCCTGAATACCATGGTGGCAGCTGCAGGTTTGAGGTCAATGGGACAGGGAACAGATGCTTAGTCTATGAATAGTTTCCTTGAGACCTGCCAACAGTGAATATGAGCCTCAAGAGGAGGCACTTATCCTAGCACAGGATGGCACGGTGGACAGCTCACCAAGCAGCTTCCGGAGCAGCCTCCGTGGGCAGCAGTCCTGGTAGCCGGCCAGGCCTCCCCAAACTCCACAAGGCCCTTGTGCTACCACATTACCTGGCCCTTCCTTTTCAGATACCTCAGTGGTGCAGACAGCAAGGTTTTTCTGGGGCGTTTACCACATCCGCCAAGACTTGGGGGAGGCAGATTTGAAAGGAGTTTGGGTTATATTTAGAACTCTTTCCAGCACAGCTGTGCGGTGGCTGTTGTGCATCAAGCCAGCAGAGGCCACACAGGCCTGCGTCTCAGTCACACACTGACTCGAATAGTCAGCAAACGGCACACACGGAGACAGGGCTTGGGAGACCCATGCTACATTCTCTGTCCTCTCTGCCACAGTAATTCTTTTAATTTCCAGGGATCGGGAGAGGGGAGTGGTTTGCCGATCTGGGTTCTGGAGCGTTGGGTTTTTAGAGTCAGATACCCACCGTAAAGCCAGTCCTGGTAAAGAATCAAGGGTTGGTAATTATAGCTCTCATCCCCAACCCAAGGCTCAGCATCTCGCATTCTCACCGTTTCCAAAACACGAGAAACCACCCACACATCCACTGGGTATTTTTAAACCCACTGAAAAACCACACATGAAATGAAGGGTTATAAAACAGTTTGGTCTTGAAATGTTTTTAAATTTGAAGTTAATATCTTCAGAGTCTCTGTCTTCTAACTTTGAAATACAAAATATGAAAATTCTTTTTTAAAGATTTTATTTATTTATTTTTAGAGAGGGAAGGGAGGGAGAAAGAGAGAGAGAAACATCAGTGTGCGATTGGTGGGGGCCGTGACCTGCAACCCAGGCATGTGCCCTGACTGGGAATCGAACCTACGATGCCTGGTTCGCAGCCCATGCTCAATCCACTGAGCTACGCCAGCCAAGGCAAAATACGGAAATTTTATAATGCCATTTTAAAATTCCATAACCTGAGCCCACTTCTCTGCCCATTATCAAAGGAACCCTGGGAGTTGCTATCCACCAGGACCTGACGGGAAAAGGGAAAGAGGAGTTCCTCCTCTGGCCCACGGACAGGCTGAAAACCTGGAGGGAGGGCAGGTAGGAAATGCGAGGAGAGGCACTAACTCGAGAGGGCAGCTGAATCAAATCCCTGCTCTCCAGCCCTCCACGGTACCGTGTTTATCATGTCATGCCTCAGCTGTTTCTGTCCGAAGAATGTGGGGTCTCTTCTGCGTCTAGAGGCGTGGTCTCGGGAATCTCACAGATTCTGTCTTTACCACTCTCAGAACTGACTCTGGAACTTGATCTCTGAAACCAACCTCCTTGCCTGCGTTCCCGCTCAGATTTTCTACCAAAGGTTTGTCTTGGGCTGTCCTATCTGTACCTCCAACTGAAATCACTTCCCTCTGTTCCCAGCCCACCCTACTCCAGAGCTCCCTGTTTACGTTGGCGGCACTTATCTATCTATGCCTGAGACCCGCCGACCCCCTGCATCGATCCCGAAGCACTGTCAATGCCACATCCTCTTCTCTGTCCCTACCAATCCAACAGCCTCACCCAGAGCCTGTGCCCTCTGATCCATTCTGGACCTTGCTGCCAAACAGAGCTCAGTACTCAAAGGTCCAAGCCCCCCTCGCCTGCCATCGCAAGACCTCCATGGGCTAACCCCAGACCTCTGATCCTTCAGGATCTCCCCCTCCTCCTCATGGAGTCCCTTCTACGGCCATTCAACGGAAGTGCTGGCCTTTGCTGGGACGATCCCAGGTTTCCCCGGTCAGAGTTACTCAGACTATTTCCTCTGTCTGGAAGGGCCAGTGCTTACATAGCCAAACCTTCTAGATCCCACTGAAATTTTATTTCCATCATTGTTTTTATTATGAAGTTTCAGTGAATATACCCCTTGGCAATTAAAGGAACATAATGATTGAATAAAGGTGGCTCAAAGTGCTTTGGTATTTCATGATCACCATCAGCATAGCTAACATCTGTTGACCATTTGCAATGTTCCAGAAAAGCCCTACCCATGAACAAACTAGTTAATTTAGCTTAAACATTCTATGATGGAGTTACTATTATTACCTAATCTCAACTTACAGATGAGAAAAGAGAGCACAGAAGTTCAGTGACTTGCCCAGGGGCATACAGTTAGTAAGCGGAGGGGCGGAAACACGGCATGAGTCACCGCTATCTTGTGATGATCTAAGGCAGAGACTCTCAAATTTTTCATCTCGTGGTACACGTAAACCAGTTACCAAAACTCTGCGGCTCACCGAAAATAATGCTTTTTGCCAATCTAACAAAAAGAAGTAGGTATAATTTTGATTCATTCACACCAGATGGCTATTGTTGTGTTGGTTGCTGTCCTATTTTTTAACTTTGACAATCTAAGGGGAAAGAAGTCAGTGCCCCTGACTAAACAGTCAAGTACCGCATGGTTTGAGAATTCTTGCGGCACACTGGTGGAAAATCGCTGATCTAAGTTCCCGGTACTCCAAACGATATATGATTTTAGTGTTATAAAAAAATCCATTATGTTAAAATAGAAAGGGAAAAATTGCTCTAAAGTTGTACTTCTTTGGCAACCATAAGAGGTGGAAGTCAAGAATTAGTATTGGCAAGAAGCTCCAAGTATATTTTCGCTGGTTCTGGCAAGGCTGAGACGAGATGTTGACTTTTGCAAACTATGGCACATGAAGCCAATAATATAAGGCTTAGTTTTGACCAACATGAAGCCACTAAGTAAGAAGACCTTAATTGATTTAGTCCTCCCCTTGCGAATCTATCTAGGTTTGTAGTTAGATAATTTGTATGCCCATGCTACCTTGAAATGGGCTGTGACTAAATTCTGTGGTATAAAAGAAAATAACCAGTCTTTAACTTGACAGTCTCATTTTTCTCTTTTCAGAACATCTCCACGTGGATACACTTATTTATTGATTCAAAAATACTCACTGCTGAAAGTACTAAGGGAGGAAAATATGTTATTGTTGTTGTTATTCACTGATAAACACTCTTCCCCGCCTGT